CGCCACCGCCCCTACAAACTCCCACCCACCCAACAACGTGCCCCTACTCACCACCACCACCTCCCTCCATCACCCAGCACGTTTCTACACTCTACCACCAAAATTCCTACATGCCACGCCGACGCCTCCGACACTCACGCCGCCCATGCGCGCCGCCGTTTCGCCCGCCTTCATTCTTCATCGTTTAGCCCCGTGTGCGGATTATCGTTAAGCTCATCTCAGTTACACCGCCAGTGTTCAGCTCCGTGTCGAGATTTGCATACATAGTGGCGCGACATTATTTCGTCGCCTGCCTGAGTAGCGAGAGCACAGGCGCTGTTTGCACAGGCTGTTTATACAGCATCGCTTGCGAGGCAGCGGCGGCAGCAGCAGCAGCAGAGAGCCGCGGTGGCAGTAGCAGCAGCAACAACAACAGCAGCAGCAGCAACAGCAGCAGCAGCAGCAGCAACAACAACAACAACAACAACAACAACAACAACAACAACAACAACAACAGCAACAACAACAACAACAACAACAGCAGCAACAACAACAACAACAACAACAACAACAACAACAACAACAACAACAACAGCAACAACAGCAGCAGCAACACAGTAGGCAGCAGCAGCAACAACAACAGCAGAGCCGTGGTCGCAGCAGCAGCAGCAACAGAGCAGGCTGCAGCAGCAGCAGCAGAAGCAACAGAGCAGGCTGCAGCAGCAGCAGCAGAAGCAACAGAGCAGGCTGCAGCAGCAGCAGCAACAAAGCAGGCAGCAGCAGCAACAGCAACAGAGCAGGCAGCAGCAGCAGCAGCAGCAGCAGCAGCAGCAGCAGCAACACAGAGCAGGCAGCAGCAGCAACACAGAGCAGGCAGCAGCAGCAACACAGAGCAGGCAGCAGCAGCAGCAGCAGCAACAGGGCAGGCAGCAGCAGCAGCAGCAGCAGGCGGCAGCAGCAACACAGAGCAGGCAGCAGCAACAGAGCAGGCAGCAGCAGCAGCAGCAGCAGCAGCAGACGGCAGCAGCAACACAGAGCAGGTAGCAGCAGCAGCAGCAGCAGCAGCAGCAGACGGCAGCAGCAACACAGAGCAGGGAGCAGCGGCAGGAGCCTAGCTAGCGCCGTGCGCAGATATTGATCAGAAAAATCCGCGCGAGCGTTTAGTGGTGACAGACAACTTCCTCTGTCAGCGCCGCTGCGAACCTTCGCCGATACAGCACCAGCACGCGGCGGCGGCGACGGCGACGACGACGACCAGCGAAGATGTCGCCACGACGCCTCGCGTACATGCAGACAACAACACACCTGCCGACACCGCACAGGTGCAGGCATAGGAGAACACGTAGGCGTTGTGCACAGAAACGACAGAGATAGTCGACAGCGCACACCTGTAAACAGGAGAACACTCAGATGCTGCTAGATACTGCACGCATACAGACAAGACATAAACACAACCTGCATATTATACACACAACGAAACATATTCGGATATATAAACCCCGCAGAGCAACATACAATAAAACACAGATGAGACCAGATACTGCACGCCTATACACAGACAACAGAGCACGTAGCTACCGTGCACGTACGTACAGACAATAGAACATGCAAGAATACATAAACACCGCACATAAATAAACACTATAATACGTCACAACTCCACGTCTAGGCACTCTACAACCATAAACCACACATCGCACGCAGCGATATCACACAAACCGACACAATTATTTCGCACACACGCTCCGTAAAACCGCAAACACTAGATCACACTACAGACGCTATTATACGTGCAAATACTGTCACACGACACACCTGCATGTATCATATAGATTCCGCAAACATTCAGAAAACAGAACATATCGAGACATTGTATACGGAAAGCCAACAGACCACGCGTACAGATATAACATATCACGTGTACAGCAACACGCTCGCACGCACGCTCGCACGCACGCACTATCTATAACTCTCCAAAACTCTCTAAAATGTTCTAAAACTCTATCGCTAATAAATTTACAATAGTTTATTTATCCCGCATTTTCTTCAGCGATTCATCAGTTTCGAGCTAGCTGGAATCTGCGGGCTGTGCACTCACGTGCCTGCCGTAGTCGACTAGTCTTATCACTGCGAGTCAAACACAGATTGCTTTGTCGTTTGCCAAATCCAGTTAGGGGCGTAGGTAGCGCCGATCGTCGTTGGCGCGATAAATGGCCAGCTTGCATTTCAGACGAGTCGTTACTAGAAGCTTAACGGGCAGGCGGACACAAAGATGCATCTTTACGCGCGCGAATAAGGGGCCGTGTCTGCGCGCTGGTGATAACAATGTAGTCATCGATAACATGTAGTTATCGGCGTGTGTACGTATGATGTGCGACGTATCGCGCGACGCGTTTTTTGAGAGATGCCGGTTCGCGGCGGAGGCTGCTTCTTATCGGCATCTAACACAACACCACTGGCGAGAGATTCACGCTCAAGAGGAGTTAACCTACCCTGGAGCGACACCGAGACGCAATATAACGGCGCGCCATGCCAATCGGCTGCTCCGGACAGCGACATTTGCTCATTGAAGAGAAAGTGAAGTTCGTACGTGCGACGTTCAACCGTTCCCTCCTGCCTGGTTAATGTGTGCAATGTTACACGATTTGTAGCTGGTTAGAATACGTGATGTTCATCCGTTCCTGGCTGGTTAATGTGTGCAATATTTCACGATTCATGCTTGGTTAACGAGTGAAATGTTCAATCGTTCCTGATTGATTAATAATGAGTGCAAGGCTCAACGGTTCGTGCTTGGTTAACGTATGCAATATTTGATCGCCGTCGACTCGCTAACGCACAGATTCTCGCACCGTCGGTGTCTGTTGAACACACAGAACACTCCGCACTAGTGCAGGCAGAAATAGCTAGACCCAGCATGCCTTACTCACGGCAAGTTCAAACAAACAGTACGGCTACCTCTGTCGTTAGTCCACCACACAGCGAGCCGACCGAACGAGATGCAGACACAAGGCTGGGAGTGCAATTGCTAAGTCGGGCGGCAATCACGTTAGTCGCACAAAAAGTCTGCAGTTAGTCTCGATCCGCTGGCATTCCGCTGAGACTTACATTCGGCCGAGTCCTCCAATAGCTTTTTCGGTTGTGCTAGCGTAACGTCGGTTACGTGAACTTTGGGCGGAGGCACGTTACAGGACCGACTGGGGGTTGAGGTAGGTGGGGAGGAGAGTGCGGCGATGGAGGCCGCTGTCACGGCGACAGCAGCAATGTAGGGCTGTTGCTCGAGGTGCACGGCATGCGGCGGCTTGCGATCTGGCAAGAAAAGCAAGTGCAATGAGATAGAAGTCGCGAGACGATGACCAATAAGCTTCCGAGAGAGCGACACATCTTATTGTGGGAGTACGCAGGTGGCCAGGACACCCTGCTGGTCAATATGGTCTGGCAGTCAGCGCACCCTGGTGATCAGTCACCCTGGTTGTCAGCGCACCCTGGTGATCAGTCACCCTGGTTGTCAGCGCACCCTGGTGATCAGTCACCCTGGTTGTCAGCGCACACCCTAGTGATCAGTCACCCTG